TGACTTGGGACAACTCATGTACCTTCTCCAGCTTAGTTTCTGGGTGGGGAGGGCTTACTCAGGGGTAGGCATGGGAGTAGAATGACTTTATCCACAACTTGGAGCAATTGTCTCAGAGGCTTAGGAGCTGGCTGTCACCATTGGGTAGTTTGAAAGTGTAGCCCGACTGACCTCTTGATGACCCAGGAGCCAGCATTTTTCAGTGCCATCAGGGAAGGAGGTGACATGGCTGGGCTCAAAGCATGATGAGACGTTAAGGACCTCACCCAGCCCTGGCTGCCAAGTTCACCGCTGCCAAGTCCATGTTCTTTAGATGCCTGAGAGAAGGCATCTTGAACCAGGCAGATGACTAGAGTAGTGATCTCTGAGCCTCTGCCAATGAAGTGAGGGCTGGATTACACAAGAGGTTCTAGTGGCTTCTTATGGCAGAAAAGAAAATCCTTCTGTACAAGTGACCTTTAATCTAGGAGACGCAAATCAGTAGTTAAGCCTAGCGGCACACATAGCCCAACTGCCCATCAACTGACAAACAGGTACTAACCTGCAGTGGATCTCATCTATTTAATAGATAATAATCTATATAAAGCCCTAACACATGCTATGGCATGGCTGAACCTCGGGGACATTATACAAATGAAAGAAGCTAACTACAAAAGACTGCTTATTGTGAAATTGTTTTAAAAATGCAACCTACCAAGGACAGGAAATCTGTGGCAGATAGGTAGCCCCCAAGGGTGGTGGTGGTCAGCAGGGAGGAAGGGGGGATCTGGGGATGGAGGGAGTGCTTACAGGGATGGGTTTCTCACAGAGTGACAAACACGTTTGGAGCTAGATAGACTGATATCCCTATAACACTGGGGATGTACCAAATGTCACTAAATATCGCTGGATTGAATGCTTTTTGGGGGAGGGGTTGCTATGGATCAAATCTAAGGTCTCACGCATGCTAGGCAACTTTGTATCACTGAGCTACACGCCAGGCCCTCAAGGTATATGCTCTTAACTTTTACAGTATATGGATTTTACTTCTACAGAGATGAGGTTTCCAGACTCTCTAAGTGCTGGCCTCCTCAGTTCCACATTCTTAAGGTTCCTCCACTGAGCCCCAGTATGGAAATCAATAGTCTCCAGCTACTAAAAAGTTCCAGTCAGCTTAGTTTTCTAGAGAGGTGGTTTCCCTGCTTTAAGGTAATTTCTCCTAACCTCCCAAACACACAAGTCCCAGAGATGTCTTCCTGCCTGGAAACAAGCCCGCCAACTGCCCTCTCTGTTGTCTGTGGTAGTCCATGGTGATCTCCCTAGATTTATGATACATCACTGGTTTTAAACTCACAATTCTGCAAGAAGAAAAGTAGCCAATCCTTGCTTAGGCTTGCTTCCTCACTGATCAGTGAAATGCACATTTGAGAATCTTCTGTCAACCGTGTATGACATTTCACCTACGATTCCAGCCCCAGAAAGCTGAGCCACGAGGATTGAGTGCAAGTTCCAGGCTAGCATAGCCCACACAGGGAGACTGCCTCTCAAAAACCAATACCAAACCAAATAAAAAAGTGCCCATTAAATTGTTTCATTTGAATGTAGTCATCATTGTTTTATTTACATGTCATTATCTATTATGTAGAAAAGCCCCCTGGAGGCTCAAAACAGCTTTGCAACTTGCTGAATCCCTTACTCGTAGCTTACCACAGAGTAAAGACTTGAATGTTGTCTCTTAGCCTCAAAAGAAAGCAATTTTTTTTTTTGAAACACTGTCTGATTCTGTAGCCCAGGCCTGGGCAGGAATTTGCTAGGCAGTGCAGGTTTTCCTTGAATTTGTGGCAATCCCATCAGCTTCTGAGGGTCGGGATTACAAGCAGAAATCCTCATGAACCAGCAAAGAAAGTGCTGTTATGTTCAGAAGTCAGTCATGGGGGTCAGGCTCCTCTCCATACAGAACACCTGTGACTGTTCTCAGCCTCACCAGGAAAGGCCCCAGGGGGTACAGGATCTAGGTTGTATGGAGGTACAGGGTGCAGGGTACAGGATGTGTGGGCCCAGGGGTGCAGGAAGGTGCAGGGTACAGGGTGTATGGGCAGATGCTGGCACATTTCTAATGGTTCTTCTGTACCTTGCCAGGGAAGCCTTGGGGTTGAGGGTCTCAGGACATCTGCTTAATTAAGATTGGGTGGAACAAATGATGTCTTCTGTGCCCTAGCTGTCTTGATGACAAATACTCCGAGCAGGAACTAAAAAGGACCATGCCATAGGCTCTAGTCCTGGGCATGGAGACACACACCTGTAATACTTCTGCCTCTAGGGAGGCAGAGACAGGAGGATTTTGAGTTCAAGGCCTGCCTAGACTTCACAGTGAGACCCAACTCAAACAACAGACAACCAGCAAAAAGGAACAGAAAACTCTGCTACTACAGTTATATTCCGGCCTGGAATTCTACTGTGACATCGCTCAATACGGCTGTAATGGCGTGGTCTCAGAACTGTATCCACAGTTTTTGGCCCCACAGCTGTGCACACGTTCTATGTCCCCCACCCTGTGCTTTGTCCCGTTACCTTGAATCATAGGAACTGAGAATAGTTTCGGCCTTAAAGTTACCACAATAACCATTGCTTATGTACTAATGCACTTTGCAGGTTGCAATGTGCTCTTGTAGATGCTGGCTAAAAATAAACTAAAAAGGTGAAATTAAGGGAAAAGTCAGTAAATGGCATTTAGCAAGTCACCCTTCTCCTTATGCTCCAGGTAGGAAAAAGGGAGATGAAAGGGTTTTTAGGTTAGAAATGAAGCCAGAGCCCTGAAAATTCTGTCCCTGGATATCGATACGAACATCAATGCTTTTTAAATTAAAAATGAGATGCTGCTGCTTATGACTTGATAAGTTATAAAATGCCTCTTTCATCCTTCCCAATCAATGGTCCTGGGATCCTTGGCAATTAAATTTCAGATCTTCGGCTCTTATGGATTGTGTAGGTAACGAGAAACAAGAAAGGGGAAGAAGAAAGTTCGTCTCACTGTGCTGCTTTACCGGGAAGGGCTTCCCTGTGCTTGGTAGCAAAGGTTAAAGAATGCTCAGGCCTCCCATCCACGTACTAACCGGCCCTGACTGTTTAGCGTCTGAGCTCAGAAGAGAGAGGGCGCATTCAGGGTGGCATGGCCATCGAAGAACCATATATATGAGTACTGACGAGGAGGTAGTGACGATACTGACGAGGAGGTAGTGACAATTGAGGTGGCGCGATGGGAAGGCACAGGAGGAGCTGCAGAGCGTGAGTGGGAAATGCAAATGAGGTAAATATAGCGCCCATGCAGGAAATGCAAAAAAAAAAATCTTTTCATTTAAAATTTAAAAGTATGCTCAGGCCACACAATAGATTTTGAACTTCTTGTTTCCAGTGAAGAAGGCAGAATACCAATGTGTCAAGGTCATCCTAAAATAATCTGCACCACCATGCTATAGAAAGCCACCTACTTCTCTCCGTGTGGAGCACAAAGTCTCTTGGGACCTCATCTTGGCTGCTGAGATCAATAACCATTAACCATTACAGGAAAGATTTTTAAGGAGTGTGCTTTATGGTAATTAATCTGACTAAATTGAGGCTCTAACCAGTGTGTTTTCTGAGGGTAAGTAGTGAGGGTAACAGTGTGTGTGTTTAGTCAGTGGTCCTATCACTTGCTCACTGTCCAGCCTCAGATGCTCTGAGGATCTGGTGGCCTAATGACCTCATCCTCGAAGCAGAAGCCCATGGAGTCCACACAGACAGAACTGGCTACTCGGACCACAGAAGTGAACGTTCGGAGTGACATTACGCTCAGGGAACAGTTACCACCCAGCCTGCCTGAGAGTAATATGACCAATCTTATAGACTAATTTCCTGCACGGCATGTTTGTTCGACCATGGCTGCCGAGTGGCAGCACCCAGGGAACCTGCAAATGTGTGGACAAACCTCCAAGCCCTGCTCGTAAGAATCATCACTGCTGAGGCGGAGGCCTTTTGAAAGCTGCTCTGGAAGGCTCTCGTGTGCAGTCAAGGGTGAGAAGCACAGCTGTAAGGTGGCTCATGCAAGAGCTGGGCTTGAGCCCCACTGATGAGGAGTCTCAGCAGAGGGACTTAACAAACACCACTTGTTGGAGAAGTCAGCATTCCTCCCTCCCTGGAGCCATGGCAGCTAGGGCTGAAAGTCTGGGAGCTTTTGGGTCAGTCTGACACATCACAAATATGGGAAGAACGACTTGAAACGCCTGCTTTCCAGTTTCTGCCAAGACTCAGTCAACAGTACTCAGTTAACAAAAAACACTTTGTGGGCACCTGACATGTGTGTGGTGGGGGGACAAACAGAACCAACTGGCCAAGTGAAATGTTGTTCGTATCAAGGATGCTTGTGTGGAAAGTGAAGCAGGGACGTTCATCGACCCTCTTGGGGTCCCCATGGGTGGCTACAGGGGTGTGCAGGGAGAAATTAATTTGGACCTGTGCTAGAGGTGTCAGAAGATGATGGCATCTGCAAACTCAAAGCTCATGCCGTAAATGCGTAAAGCAGCATGAGGGAGGGCAGAGGCCGCTCTCTTCATGTCCAGCTGCTGGGGCCTCTCCTACATGCTGTCACACTTCTGCCCACAAATGGTCATGGGCAAGTACAGAACCTGTCGCTGAGGAAGTGGGAGATTAGGATTGGATAGCAAAGGGAAATGTACCACTGAATCCCAGTATCACATAACTCCTGTTCCCCATCAATACAATTGTGGGTTGGTTGGTTGGTTGGTTGGTTGGTTGGTTGGTGCTGGGATTTGGACTTAGGGCCTCACATATGCTAGGCACATGCTCTATATTCCCATGGAGCTATATTCCCAACCATTCCTGATTTTGAGTTGCTGGTCACGTAGGACTATTTATGAAATGAATGATCTATTCATTTAGCTCTCAAGAACTTAATCCACCTGCTTGGGACACAGAGCAGAGACATGAAGGAACCAGCAGAAAGCAGGGATACACTAGGGACTTACTGGATCTCCTTTTTCTTCTTCAGCGGGTCCATGAGGCGCAGCGTGTCTCTGATCACAGCCACCTTCACCTCTTCATCCACCAGGCTGGGGATATTTTCAAACACCCCTGGAGAGAGCTTGGAAGAAGGTAAGGATTCTGAATTAGAGCCGACTGTGACCCTGTCCTGGTGCTTATCCCTGACTGCCTCAGACTAGCTCAAATGGTCATGCAACTGTACAAATCCATAGAAGAGAATTTTTAAACCTCCCTCCATACTAGCATGCAAATTTCCTATTATAAATTCACACAGGGAAGCAATAGCACTATGGTTTTGTTGTCATTGGTATGGTTTTATTTTGTTAGCCAAGGCTAGCCACCGATTTGGTATGTAGCTGAGGGTGGTCTTGAACTCATGATTCTGCCCCCTGGATTCCTGGAACTACAGGTGTGTACCACATGCTAGTCTTGGCACTGTGCTTCTTGGATTATTTTTGTAAGAGCTGAGAATGTGAAGAGGGTTGAAAGAAAATTAAAAGAATCCAGATAATTCCCTCAAAGCCCAGTAGTAATTTTAGGGGTATTTCCTCTAGCCCTTTAAATGTGCTGCGAGGGGCTGCACAGGCACTGTTAAATGTACTGTTTATCTTAGTGGTTCAAGAACGTCGACGTGGCTAACTCATAGTCATAGAATTTCAATTAGTTCATCTCCTGAGGCTAACTAATTAGTTCATGTCAAAACTGATGGAAAGGCTCAGCTGCTTCTAAGTTTCCCACCTTAAAAAATGAGAAGAATGGCATGCTGGGAAATTACTAAGGGTCGGAAAGGTCTCTTATTAATAGACTCTGTTTGGAGCTTGACAGAACTAAAAGTATTTGACTTCAACGAAACTTTGCTGTAAAATTTCAAGGGTGGCAAGTCTTGGGCAGCCAAGGGGGTGCCCGGCAAGCAGGGGTATGTGTGCTGCAACCTCCCGGCCCAGGGGTGCTCTGCAGCCTCCCGGCCCAGGGGGTACTGCAACTACTTACTTCATATTCATGCTCAATTCTCATGCTGGGGTTAGCATTCACTTCAAGTAGCATAGGCTTCAGGTTTTTCATCAGAATAATGTCAAAGCCTAGAATCTGGGCAGAACAAACATAACACAGCATTATTCCCCTGGGGCCACAGTTTCTTCTCAGGAATCGAGTACGGTATTACAGACATTAAGGGGAAAATAAATTCAGACTCGGGCTCCAGCCTTGGCCTTGGCCCTGATCTCTGTCCTCCACAGCCCTTGCTCCTCTGGGTATACTTGTTGGACCAAATGGATAGCAGACTTTTTTTAATGGAAACCTTGATGGTAATGGGATGTGCTCCCGTAGTGCCTCTCAGTGTCATCTCAAGTGCCATAAAGTGACGACCCCTTTCCCCTTTAACAGGCTTCTGATTATGCTAAGGACTACTAGCAGTCCATTGACTTCTCTCTTGGCCTTTGTCCCAGTTTCCTCTGTTAAGTTACTTCTTGGCTGCATTTCTGGAACCCTAAGGCCACCCTTCTTAACCTGTAGTGTGTATGAGTGTCTTGTAAGGTTACAAAGTAGCTGATCCTACAGGCCACACCCACTGCATCAGTGTAGAATGGGGCAGCCACTCTCCCCTGGGTGAGTCTGATATAACCTCTTGATGTGTGTGTGTGTGTGTGTGTGTGTGTGTGTGTGTTCCAGCTCCTAGGACTCCTATTGATGTGCATCACACACAAACACACACACAAACACACACACACACACACAGCATTAGTAACTTATGACGCATCAAAGATTCAGAATCTCATTAGATCCAATGAAAACACTCAGACGGAAGTAGAATTTGGACCTCAGAAAGCACTGTGGGTTTCCTTAGTACTGCCTACCCAGTGTGTGAATGTATCGGCTTTTACATCTAAAGCAATCACATGTGCCTCCAGTACTATATGAGTGTCTCTTTGCTCAAAAAGCATCAACAGTTTTCAGAGGGTGACACCAGAGCATCAAACTAGGCTGGAAAGCCGCTCCAAACATGGGACCCTGTGCAGCAACTCCACACATCCCCACCAGGCCAGGCTGGCAAGGCTTGCTCCAGAACCAGCTGCTGGACACCTGTGCTTGAACTCAGCACTGACTGGCCCCGGGTGAAGCTCTGCTGTCCAGCTGCCCTTGCCTCTGAACCCTTCCTTAACAAGTCTATCAGACCAAGTGCCATGTGCATGTTCTCCCCCTTACGTAGTCTTCCACCTGCATAACTTTGCCTCCTAGAGATCCTTCCTCATGAGGTTCAGACTTGAACTACATGGCCTCAAATCCTGGGATGGGGGAGGGGGTCCCATCATCTCTAGAGAGGGAAGAACATTAGAACATTTTCAACAACATTGACACAACCCCAGGGTCTCAAAAAAATATGAAGGATAAGCAGAAAAGAAAAAGGTACGGTGTAAACATTTCTTCGTCTATGGCCCTCTGAGTGAGAGATGAAGGGAATCCATTTGCTCATCCATACAGAATATGCATTAGTTAAATGATAATTATCAAACTGTAGCTTCATCTATATTAATGAAATCAAGGTCTGAATGGCCATTTTTGGGAATGATTCAAATTGAAGTTCTGTCTTGGTGAAGGGCAATCAGGATGACGAGCTGGGAAAAATCACCCTTGAACTATTTTTCTTCCCGTGGTCTTGAAAAGGAAGGGATGGAAATCAGGAGACACGCTGCATGTATTAGAGACCTGCTTAATAATAAATGGCAAGCGGGTATGAGTGATGAGGCCTTTAAGAGATCTGGAGACGTCGTCAGTGTAACTTGGACCTGGCCCGAGCCATGTGCCGCAGATGAGGCTGAGGACAATGGCTGGTGCTTGTGTTGGTTGTCCTTAACTGTCTGCCCTGGCTTTCTGCTGCATCTTAGAAGTATGGATTTATACTTTTCAAGCCTGGTAGACTCTTTTCTGTCCCAGGCCCAGTGGACTGGTGAATGAGGAGGAATGTTGAGAGCTGGAGGAGGGGGCAGTGAAACCTCCTCCAAGTTGCTTGGCACCCACTGACGTCAACCACTCGAGGATCTGAACACAGATGCATGGTTTTGAATGTATTGAATCCTATATGCTTTGGAATCAAAGATCCCTGGGCTCCAGTCTCAGCCCAGTTTCCCTCCCTAGCTCTTTAAAAGACTTTAGGGAAGGTATTTAGCCTCTCTGAGCCATTGAAAAATGGGTTTAAAATGGAAGCCCTACAGTTTTACCAATAATGGCTATGAAAAGTGGTACCTAGGACCAGGCTCTCCATATAGAAGGTGATCTATGTTAACCCCCTTTCCAGTTTCCAACTAAGCCTTAAGCAAGAAATGGAAATGGCAGGGGTGTGCCTTCGAGTCATAAGGAATTACTCATGTTCCAGGTCTGCCTATATGACTGGAGGCAGCTTCTCGGTGGCTCTAGGCCCCACTGTCTCTACCTGTAAAATGGGAATAAGAGCTTTCACTCATTCATTAGTGCGATATTTACTGAATGGTATCTACAACCACACACCATCAAGTAGGACTCACAATGGAATACACTGAAAAGCACTTGATAAAACGTGTGTCTAAGGAAGCTCAAGCAATATATTATAGTTTTTGTAAGTTTAAGGACATCTGAATTATTTTCCTCTCAACCAGTTTGCTGATGAACTATCTCAGGCTCAAAGGACTGGGAAGAATTTCAATTTGGATCTTGCCATGAAAATCCCAGAATGTCTAAACTGGAAAAAAAATGTCTGGAATTTTCTTGGTTCACAACTTCTCAAGATGGTATTCTTTTGGAAGAAGGAAGTCAGCCAGATTGGATCAACTTTGACCTATTTTTAATGTTACTTCCAGCAAGAGACGTTTCTGTGTTTTGTTTTGTTTGAAAAATCACTAACCTCGTCTAGTCCCTTCTCTTAGGAGACCCCAGGAACCTGCAGCTTGGGAAGGGAAGGTGCTCCCTCGTAAGTCTCTCCCAGGGTTGTGTCACAGCAAGTGCTGTCAGATGGAGAGGTGACTTTTCAGTCTGGTGATCTTCTGCCTTATGGAGACTTAACCAACACTTATGTGGCGAGGGGCTCCCACCTGAAGGGTGACTGGCATTTAAAACCATCTGGGCTTTACTGTTAACTTCTAGAGGCTAGAGACTGAATGGGAGAGGGCCCTCAACGACTGACTGTGGACTCACACAAAGGCTTCAAGCTACATTCCACAGAGAGAACCTTCTCTTCTGAGTGAGCTCCAGGCTACCCAAATCAACTACTCTCAGCAAGCAGGTCTGGGACTCCTCACAGTATGCATATAACTACCCATGGCCTATGCACTCTAATGTCCCAGTGAGTTTCATCTCCCAGGATTCAAGAGTTTGTGAAACACCTCCCCCCCCACCACCTCTACCCACTTGAGTGAAAGCTACATTCCATACCTGTTTCTCACAGAAAGAGGTAGAACTGGCATGCCACTTTCAACATTAAGTTAAAAAAGGATAGTGGCTTCTGGCCTGGGGTGTTCCTCTCCACCCTGAAAGAAGCCACCAGGCATACAAGTGAGCTGCCCTGTGGAGAAGGATAGAACTGACCATTGTCCTGACTTATCCAACCACCTTCCAGGTACGACCTGAGGCCTGTCAACACTGTGAGTGAACTTGGAGGAGGACCTTCCTTAGGGAGGTCCTGAGAGGACTGAAGCCCTGGCAGGCCTGGAGACTGGAACCAAAAACACATCAGTTACTCCTAGATTTTTTTTGAGAAGGGGGAGGGGTCTCACTGTGTAACCCTGACTAACCTGGAATTCCCTATGCAGAGCAGACTAGTCCCTAACTCACAGAGCTCTCCCTGTCCCCTGAGTGTTAGGATTACACCCTAGATCTTTAGAAGTTCATTATGTCGGGTTTTAGATTTATTTTATTATTTTCTGTGCATTACCATTTTGCTTGCTTGTACATTTGTGCACCGTGTGTGCCTGGTGCCTGCTGAGGTCAGGAGTGAAAGGACTTGTGAGCCAGCATGTAGCCGCTAGGAATCAAACTCAGGTCCTCTGCAAGAGCAACAAACGCTCTTAACTGCTGAGGCAGCTCTCCAGCCCCTCCCCCTCGCTTCTTGATCACCGGGAATGCTGAGATAACTAAAGCAGGTTGTTTTGAGCCGCTCATTTGTCCTCAGTGGTAGATAACGAACACAGCATTCTTTTCTTCTAAAGTCTACTCTGCTTCTCGGATTCCTTACCCAACAGTCAATCAAATCAACACTTCTCCCTTCACCCCTTACAGCAGCCTGCTCACCAGCTCCTGCACGAGCTTTCTAGATCTGGCCCAGTTTCACTCTGGAACACTTCTCTCGGCTCTCATCTTTCCCTGATTTCAAACTCATCTCTGGTGTGAGGTGGCAGGGTAACTTCTAGAATGCAAATAGAATATGACCACTCCTTTGCCTCATCTCTGCCCATAGAGGCTCAAGTCCTGTGGTGTGCCCTCAGCCGAGGGTTGGTTGGACTGTCTCACACAGCACCCATACCTCCTCCCTACCTCCTGCTCGCCATGGGTTCTCATCACACAGCTCTAGTTTGGTTTAATTTGCTGTGTCTCTCCGACCCCTACTCTTCTCTTCTTCCTGGATGGGACTATGTCTTTGTCACTAGGAACAAAGAAACTCAAAATAAAGCTCTGACATCTCCAGGGCCATGTTTGAGGAGAGGGCTGTGAGCAAGGTAAGAACATGGACCCTGGCACAGGGAGTAGAGGCCAGGGAAGGCCTAAGGAGGAAGAATCGTTTGTCTGCCACTGTCTTTTGACTCACACAGCCCCTCACAGGGTGTGTGTGTGTGTGTGTGTGTGTGTGTGTGTGTGTGTGTACATGCCATTCTTCCTTTTTTCCATGGCTGCTTTAAAGATGTTCTTATTACTGGTTATTTACAGTTTGATTGTAAGTTTTATGGTGGTGGTGTGGGGGGTGGGGATGGGGGAGATGAGTTGGGGGGGTGACGTGTGTCCTGTTTGGAGTTTGTTGGTGGTTTTTGTTTTGTTTTGTTTGTAGTTTGTTTGCTATTTGTTTTGTTTTGTTTTAGCTTCTTGGATTGTGAACTTCTGTTATGTTTAACCAAATTTTGAAAGTT